CAGCCCCTTTCATAGAAAGAGGGGAGGTGGGGGGGCGGGGGGTCACTGCTGTCTGTGCAGTGCCCAGGGGCTGCTGGCCTGCCAAGAACTGTCTCTGATGGTACAGTTCCATGGGACAGAGGAACACAAGCCCCTCTGGCCTCCAGAGCCAGGGACCAAGGGGTGTCCCCTGGGCAGCAACCACAAAAACTGGGCCACAGATGCAAACACCAGGCACTGGCCACACCTAGGAGCTCCCCTCTGAGAGGCACTGGGGCTCTGGAGGGCAGCGGAGGGAGGGCATGGAAGTGGTGAAGGCAGAGGGGGCGTGCAAAAAATGTCACCCACCAAAAAAAAAAGAGTAAAAAGAAAGAAAAAAGAAGATGATGTCAGAGCAGGGAGAGGCACCTGAGCAGAAAGACGGCTTTCGCAAGGCAGAGGGAGTGCACAAGGATGGCACCCATCAGGCCCTGCGCTCCTCCTCGGCTTTACATGGGCAGGTGAGCGCTTTCACCTGGGGGCGTGCTTTCCCCAGGCTGCTGCCGGCTGGGCCCAGGTGAGTGGGTGCGCGCCAGCCCTTTCTCAGTTCACCACAGGCCCCGATGGTTCTCAGCGAGATATTTGGGGGCTCGTCTCCCAGGTGCAGATCTTAGAAGTTGGGTGGCCGATGTAGGGTATAAACTCACTCCTCGGAGAACCCTGGGTGGTGGGTTCCCTCCAGATTGTGGGTGGGATTTAGGTGAGATTGTGTCAGCCTTTCCTACCGCCTTCGAAGTGGTTTTTTCTCATTTACCTGAATTGAAAGAATATTTTACTGGCTCTTAGGGGTGTGTGTGTGTGTGTTTTTAGGAGAAAACTGACCCATGTGAACGGTGGTTTTGGGTGCATCCTCCGCGAGGTGAGGTCGGGATCTTCCTATGGCACCATCTTGAAGAGAAGCTCAGCAGCACCTGGGTCGGTGGTTAAGTGCAGACCTGCGGATTCCAGGGGGTCTGCAGTAGTCTGGGACCTTGCTCTGTTGCCATGTGACCTCCGGCAAGTCACTTCCCTGGGTACACCACTTTCCTCGTCTAAACAAGCCATTTCTCCTGCTCTGTAAGTTTATTTTTCCTTCAACTTTATTTGTATTGGTTTCAGGTGTACAGCATAATGGCTCCTCTTCCCTCTCCCCCTCATATTCTCTCTCTCTCTCTCTCTCTCTCTCTCTCTCTCTCTCTCTCTCTCTCTCTCCTGGAACCGAACCTAGGACCCTTCAGGCCGCAGGCCGACGCTCTATCCACTGAGCCAAACCAATCTGCGCTCTTCTGTCTTTTTTTTTTTACAGGATAAGGCAGAGGGTTTTGAAACCGTACCAAAAGGAGGAATAAAGAACTCTACTTCTCTACTTGGACACAAGACCCCAGAGGCTTGAAATAGTGTACAAGTTGGGGAATTATGATGTGTTCCAACCATAAAGTGAAAGAAAGGATGGAAGGAGATGAGGTTGGAGAAAGGGGTCCCAGGCTGTCCTCACATGGAAGTCATTACAAAGCCTCTCTTTCCCACACTCCCTCCTCACTCTCTTTCTCCCTTTCACCAGGTTCATCTATTTGCTTTAAAATAACCCCTTAATTGAAAATTGAAAACAATTGAGGAAGGAAGACTTGCAACATAAATGGCATCTGTGAATGCTCTGGAAATTAATCCGTTATGTACATCATTTTTTTTTTTTTTTTAGCGCGAACGCAGTCCCCCACTACCACAAATTATGCAGTCGAGTTTCCCACATTTGGGGGAATTGCAGGGGTCAGCACATCCGGAGTGCAATGGATAAGACTCGCCCTGGGAAAACCACCTTCATGATCATGGTATCTCCCCTGCCAGGTAAGTATATAGACATCATTCTTTTTTGAGGTTGTTTTATCTTCCTTCTAAAGAACTCAGAAACTCAATGGCAACTTGAAACAGAACCCAATTTAGTCCTGTCATTAGACCAAGAGGGTTTTATTCTCCCTGGTCCTCTGTCAGATTTTAAATGGATGTGGTCTTATTCCCCTTCTCATCTAATACTGGAACATCCATCTACAGCAAGATCTCACTTTTAAATGATGTTCTTGTATTTCAAGAGACCTTTTAAAGAGGAAAAATAATAGCTCCACTCTAGACAAAGCTCATGGCTGGAAAGTGAGTCTATTTATCTCCAAAGATTCAACAAATTCTTACAAAGTGTTGGGCCCAAATTCTGGGTGGTTAGAGGAGGAGGTAGGGTTCAGAAGGGGGACATGACTTGCTCAGAGTCACATAGCTAAGTTAGTGTGTCACCTGTGTACTTTCTGTCTTCTCATAGCTATTGGGTACTTTCCCTCGAAGTGAGACCCTGACTCTGGTTGGAACAAGAATTCCTGTCCTATGCTCTTCTGAGATATAGCACCCTAGAGAATTACAATGTTCAGCTGTTGCCATTGTCTGGTGTAAATCTCTCTATATTCACCTGTTTCCCTTGGGAGAGAGTGACTCGCCGGACCATGGCTGAAAACCCCACATAGTCCAAACCTTGGTGATCAGTTTGGTTTATTCTCTCAATGGACCTCTTCTCTGTAGCCACACACCCACTCTGTCCATTCCTTGTACTGTTTATAGTACCTCCCATCACAGGGTCTGTGCATTTATGTATTTCCCACATTCAGTCATCCTAGCCCAGTGGTCGGCAAACTCATTAGTCAACAGAGCCAAATATCAACAGTACAACGATTGAAATTTCTTTTGAGAGCCAAATTTTTTAAACTTAAACTATATAGGTAGGTGCATTGTTATTAACTTAATTAGGGTACTCCTAAGGCTTAGGAAGAGCCACACTCAAGGGGACAAAGAACCGCATGTGGCTCGCGAGCCTCAGTTTGCTGACCACGGGGACAACCATGTACTTTACATAGCGTTCCCCTCGCTATTTCCAGTAGCCCAACCGCCACCATATGTAGTTATCACACTATTACTGACTATATTTTCTATGATGTACTTACTTCCCTGTGACTATTTTGCAACTACCAATTTGCACTTCTTACTAAAAATATGGAACACAAAGGATTTGCGTGTCAGCCTTGCAGAGGAGCCCTATTTATCTCAGCACCGGTCCGGTCTTAGCCCGTGTGCTGCTGAAGTGAGCACCACACTGCAAGCTTGGAAAGCCTCAGTCGGATCTGTCACAGTGAGAGAATGTGAATGCCATTGGCTCTGATGTCAATTCAGAGCTAGACCAAGTACCACAACCATAATTAGAGCTACTTAATTGTAAAGTAAATTTTGCCTAAATTTAGGCAGGAAAAACCACATGGTTATTCTGACTCTGTAACTAAATCACTTCCTCCGCCGACAGTACTATTTTTATACCATGAGGTTTCCTAAGTGAGCAGCTATTCCATTATAGCAGAAGACTACGCCTAATTCATGAGGTTGTTGCAAGGATCATGCAGGCAGGTTCAGGGGTGAGCACCTGGTGAATTCCCGGAGGAGCCCCCCCAGGAGCGGATCGGTTCTGAACGCCTGGCAGGCATCGAGCTCACTGAGCCCTCTTCAGGCCCCCTGGGGACTGGTCAGTTACTCTTTTTCATAGGTCCTTCCTTTAAAGAATTCTTGCTCCTTCCTAGTTCTCCCTGAGAAAAAAAAAATGTTTACTCTCCAGGCAATATGACTTTCCTGGAGCTTTCAAAGTATCCCTTGTTTTGATTCCACTAATGAGCAGTTTCTTCCCTGGGAGAGTAAGTAGCCAATAGGAGCAAGAAAGATCTTTTCAAGGAGACTAGTCTCAGCTCCGAAAACTAGAACTAGAATTTGGAGCCTAAGCCAGTGCAGATTTTCCCTAAAGGCGGTTTCTGGCGCTCTGGTTTTCCGGGTGTGTGGGAGCAGGACAGGTCCGTCTCGGTGCTTGCTTGCCGTGTACATCAGCTGCACAGGGCAGGAGGGTGTGCTACAGGTCAGTCAAGTTCATCGACATCTGTGTGTCCTTGATTTGAGTGGAGCAATCAGCAGACTGCAGGCTGTCCTCAGTCTCCGTTTGCATCAGGCCCTGACAATAGGAAGGCTGCCCTGGCCTCCAGCCCAACTCTGACGCTGACATTGATGTGACAAAATGCTTCACGTCTCAGCCTCAGCATCCCCACCTATAAAGTAAGGTTGTTTGAGGCTCCTTTTAAGTTATACACTCCAGGGCCGTTGCACAGTTTTATTTTTACTTTATTATTTATTTATTTATTTATTCGGAGTAAAAAAAGGTTTCTTGATCAAGAAGGCACCAACGGAGAAGATCGTGCCTCAAATCCACCGTGCTTGCTTACCCCTAGGTTAAGGGTTTCTGAGGGCTTAGGACAGTGGTTCTCAACCTTGGCTGCACATTAGAATCACCTGGGAATCTTTTTAAATCCTGATTTCTGGGCCTCATCCTCCGGAAATTCTGTTTTTCTTTGTTACTAATGGTGTGCCCCACCCCATAACAAAGAAACTGAACTTTCGGAGGATGAGGCCCAGAAACAGGATTTTAAAAAGATTCCCAGGTGATTCTAATGTGCAGCCAAGGTTGAGAACCACTGGCTTAGGAGGCTCGGGCACGGGGAAGGCTGGTTGGACAGGTTTCACCTGCAGGGCCCTGGGACTTAGCCAGGCGTGGTAAGGGGCTCAGCCAGATCTTCCTGGGCAACAGACCCTTCACTTCTGAAAGGGTTCTGGGCTTCAGGTTTCGTCCACATCCCAGTCCTTTGGTCCCTTGGGGGGCGTGGCGTGGGCGGGGCGGGGGGGGAGGGTCTTTGGTCCCAGGTGCAGCCGCAGGTCATTCTCTCCTCTGCACGTGCCTCCACTGCAGGGCCCGTGGTTTGGGTCTGTTGTCTCCATTGCAGAGAATTTGAAACAGACTGTGTAATCAGCCTCCACTGCACTAGTAACTTGAGGTCTTTCTGTTTTAAGTAACTGAAAACCATGTCTGCTGTTGCGAGCCTAATATTTCCAAAGGTACAGATAAGTTACATTTTTTTTTTTGCTTTGAAATACATGTATTTACTGCTGCTTTTTGCTTTTCTTTATTCTGCTTACTACAGCAAAAATGTTTTGGTAATATTTTTCATTTTGAAAATATTGAGTTTCGAAAAATATATCGACTTTCTATGTATTTTCCTTGTCGTAGCTGAGTGACTGTAGATTGCCATTATTGCAGCATTCTGGGGGCAAATCTGTATTTGTTTGTGGGGTCCACGGCTCCACGGCTGTGTAGTGAAGAGAACACCAAGGGGCAAGACATCTGAGCTGGATGTGCAAGTCTCTTATCCAGAAGTCACTGCACTTTGAATTCTTGTCAGTTCTGCCTCCTGACTAGATCGCCAATCCATGTGTCCCCCAGAATGTTTTCTATGAGACACCAGTCCCAGAAGATACTCCTTAAGAAAGAATGGGGTAGATAGGCAAATAAGTTAGGAAAACGCTGTATTCTATAGCCCGATTGCAATGAGGATGCTTTGGGTGACAAATCACAGCAAACAGTTTCAAACTGAGTTAACAATCAAGAAAGGTCCTGTCCTGGGCATTGAGGGGATTGGGGAAAAGAAGGTACAGTTAAATCAGAAGACTCAGTATTGTCAGACTCAGCTCACTCCTTCTTTTTGTCATGCACACAGAAGAATATGTATTGTAGTAAAATGTGAAGATAATGCAATGCCTACACCCTAGAATCTTCCTGTGTACCCTTTCTCAGTTGCACCCCTCTCCATTCCCAGATATGATACTTCTGAGTGAGATATTTAATCCTCTTGATGGTTCAGGGTCATAATTTGGACATCGGTTATTGTTGTGTGCTCCCATAGAAAGGAGATGTGTGCCCAGCTGGCGTGGCTCGGTGGTTGAGCGTCGACCTATGAACCAGAAGGTTACAGTTCAATTCCCAGTTAGGACACATGCCCCAGTTGCAGGCTTGATCCCCAGTGTGGGGTGTGCAGAGGCAGCCCATCGATGATTCTCTCTCATCATTGATGTTTCTGTCTCTCTCCCCCTCTCCCTTCCTCTCTGAAATCAATAAAAATACATTTTTTTTAAAAAAGAAAGGAGATGTGTTAGGCTTCTCACCTCTGTCCTAAATTACCCCAGATTATTGATTGAAATGATCTATTCATATGTCCCCACCAGACAGTGAGCTCAAGGACATGGATTATATCTTTTTCATCTATTTTCCAAGGGCCAAGCATAAGACTTGGCAAGAAGTGGGTGCTAATTGATATTTTGTTCTTAAAAATCAAATTTCTTATCTAAAAATAGAGGTTGCGGGAAAGGATTGGACTCTCTCCACTGCGGTCTCTGGTAGCTCCGTCCTCTCCTGCAATGTGTTTTAGCAAATTCACTTTGTTGGCGTGATGTTTCCACTTGGACTGTCAAAGGCAGCCATCTGCTCTGCGGCCGGGGCGCCTGCGCTCAGGCGTGAGTCGCAGACACAGTGACCCTCCGATGAGCTGCCAGACCCTCCACGCGGCTGTGAACGGTCAGGTTGCTGTTTCTTAGAAACCGTTCACATTGCTCACCAGATTTCGTTCTCATTCTGACAACTGTGAAGGCACTGAGTGCTGGTCAGACGACCAGAGGATCACTACTCTTGAGCACGATCCTAATAAACAAACTTGTAAGTGGTCTTAGTCCCGAGCAGGCTGGATTCATCCGAGTGGGGTGGAGTGTCTGCGATAGCATCTTCTCCAGAGAGGGATCAAGGCCAAAACCTTTGTTCTCTCCTGGACGGTTCTGTGATTTGAAACAATGCTGCTTTGATTTCTCCAATGGGAGCCGGTGCTTCCATTTCCTTCGCTGGAAAGAAGCGGAGACTTCACTTCCTGCCTCAGCCTGCTGCTGCATTGTCCGGGCCCGCATGTGCGTTCCCCTGCCGGGGTGCAGACACACTCCTCGCTTCTCTCTCCTCCTGCTGCTTGGAGTGGCAGCTGAAGCAATGCCAGGGACCACGCTTGGGCCAAGGAGTTAGGAGAAGGGAGCGCCACTGTATTCCTTGGCCTTGAGCAATTATGTGAGGGCCAGAAGTTCAATGGATGGTAACGCCTTGCTTCAGCAACCTGCAGCTCTCTTGCTGGTCTCGTCTGAACTTTCTGGCGTAGGAACCAGACACTCTTCTTTTCCATGGTTCACAGAAATCAGGTTTCCACTTTTCTGATCATCCAAGAGGACTCAGGGAGTCCTCTTGCTGGAATCTCACATTGCAAACAGCTGATCTTCACAGCCCCTATTCAAGGCAACCTTGAGGCTCTCCGTTTTCACGTGAGCTGGCAGCGTGCTCCCAGTGACCATCATGCTCTGGCCAGTGGCCCTTGTTCCCTTCAGTGGGGATGGCACGCGCCTTACAGTTTTTTGGCCCCAGGGAATGGGGTCTGAGAATGGGGAGAGGGTTTGGCCTTTGGAAAGAACTAAAACCTTTCATCCATAGAAAAAAGGAGGGAAGTCACGCGTCGGGGCAATTGCTGGCCAGTTGGTAGTTTCCAGGGTAGGAAGAAATGAAGGGGATACAATTGATTCTCAGTGAGGTAGAAGCTGAGTCCCAGGACACTGTGGCTGGGGACGCAGTACAACTCTTGCTGGTCAGCAAGGGGCCTGCATTAGGTTGTGTATCAGAGCTCATCACACTTGAACGGGCTAACAAAGAACCTAGGGATTCTGATCCAGTGGGACTGGAGTGAGACCAGATATTTTGTGTTTCCTACAAACTCCCAGGTGGTACCAGCCCAAAGACTACACTTTGAGTAGCAGGTTGTATATCATTGTAAATGCATCCTTGCTGGTGGAACACCCACAGTTTTTTGTTGTTGTTTCCCCCCCACACCCCCCAATATAGCTGAAAGGCCTGACAAGGTAATTTCATAAGATAGGAGGGAAGAATCAAAGAAGGTTAGGGAAAGAGGAGCAGATACAAAATGGAAAGGGAGCGCACCAGGGAAGCAGTGAAGTCTGGTGGTGAGAACTTCAAAGGATCTGAGTCCTTGGTGGAAAGGAGGGCAGAGTGGTTGGAAAGCACTAGTGGGAAGCAAGGTGAACACTGGCTGCACCAAGGCCATTGGTGTGAGAGGAAATACACCAAGGGAAGCAATGGCATTGTGTGTGTGTGTTGGGGGGGGGGGGCATGGACCAGCAGGTTTCCTTCAGAGCAAGAAGGTGACAGGAATGTTCAGAGAGTCATTGAGGATACAGGGACGTTTGCTGGTGATAGACTGTGGGACACAGAGGGTGTGGAGGAAGGATTCAAGAGAGAAGGGGTGGGGGATTGGGACAGATTCGTAGATGCAGAGAAGTTATGGGTAAGGATCCAGGGTGGATGACCGGGGGCCTCACCTTGGGCTCTGGTGAGCTGAGGTGGGAGGAAGGCATAATGAGAAGATGGGTAATAAGTTCAGGTTGTACAGGGGGGCTGTGGGTGAGTACTGTCTCCTGCAGCTCCAGTAATGCACGCATGTTGTCTCAGGCAAGGGGCGGGGCACAAGAATGACAGGGGTGATGTCACTCCTGGAGCAGGAAGCTGGGGCGTTCCTTCTCTAGAGCCCTGTTGCACTGTGGCCCTGGAGCATGAGGCATATGGACG